AGAAGGGGAAAATAGTTGGGGAGAGGGAGGGAGGCAAACCATGAGAGACACTTGAATACTGAGAACAAACTGAGGGCTGATGGGGGTGGGGGGGAGTGGAAGTGGGGTGATGGGCATGGAGGAGGGCACTTGTGGGGATAAGCACTGGGTGTTATAAGGAAACCAACTTGACAATTAACTATTTAAAAAAAAATAAAATAAAATGCCCCTCTGAATCCATTTCCCTGCTCCCAGCTGTTTGGTCCTTCTCGCTCTCTCAACACTTCCTACTCCCCTCTGCCGACAGACCTCACAAGAAAGCAGTTGAAATTTGCTCTATCAGTTTTTCAGCTCACGCTAACTTTTTGGTCATATGGCTGCTAGGCTCTGCTACTAACAATATTTATGTTCATGTAACTAGTGCCATCTATGTCACCAAGTCCACTGGTCGCTTTCAGTCACTCGACCGCTTGGCACATCCGGTGGATCCCTCCTCTCCTGAGGCATTTCCTTCTGTCGGCATGAATGACAGCATGCCCTTCCGGTTTCCACTTACTTCCCGGGTTACTTGTCTTCATGTCTTTTGCCAACCTCTACCTTACCTTTAAAAAGGCCAAGGTTCTTTAGGGTTCGGCAAGCCCTTTTTCCTTCTTACTGCATTCTTCCTCTGGGTGATCTACTACCTCATTTAGTCTCAAGGATTCAAATATCCGCGATGGGCCAATGGAGACTTTTATCTTCAGCCCAGACCTGTCTCCGAAGCTGAGGCCCTATGTCCACCTGCTTATCTGACCTTTCCATTTGGATGAGTCACTGGCACATTGAGGTCAAACTTCCTACTTGGTCTCACCCCCAAACCGAGCCATCTCGACCACAAACCTGCTTCTTTTGCACATGTCTTCTAAGTGGCACCACTGTGTACCCATTGCTCAAGTCAGAATATGGGTGTTATCCTTGATGTCCCCCACCCCCACCCAACATAGCCGACCAATTAGGAAGTCCTGTTGATTTCACCTCCTATATATTTCTCCAATCTCTTTACTTCCCTCCATCGTTATTACAACCACATCAAGTCCAAGTCCATCATCACCAACCTCTCCTGGACTAGCTGGAGCTCATGTAAATACTGTGACTCTGCTCTAATGCATGATCTACTCTGGACCTAGAATGCTATTTTCTAAAATGTTTATTTATTCTTGGGGGGCAGGAGGGGCAGAGAGGGAGATGGAGTCAGAGGATCCAAAGCAGGCTCTGTGCTGTCAGCACAGAGCTCAACGCAGGGCTGGAACCCATGAACCATGAGATCGTGACCTGAGCCAAAACCAAGAGTTGGACGCTTAACTGACTGAGCCCCCCGGGCACCCCTGTAATGCTATTTTTAAAATCGATATTTGATCACATCACTCTTTAAAAAAAAAAAAAAAAAACACTTTTAACTATTTCTGCTCTTTAGTAAAAGGATAAAGTTAAAGGTTTGTAATAAAAACGTAAGGACCCTGCTATTAGGTGTGGCCCTCACCTGCCTCTCCAGCCTCATCTTGTGTCGTGTTTTCCCTTATTCTTTATGTTAAACACACATGTTTCTTTCCTTCCTCAAAAGTCCTACCTCAGGATGTTCAATTTTACAGTTTTCTTTTCCCTAGTACAGGAGCTGGGAAACGTTTTCAGAAGACCAGAGAACGAATATTTTAGGCTTCATGGGCCAGTAGGTCACGGTCTGTGACTCAAGCACTCAGCTGTGGCATTGTGGCATCAAAAGAGCTGTAGAAAGCATGCAAATAAGCCACACACAGTGGGTTGGGGGCTGGGGCACAGTTTTGCCAACTCCTGTTGTAGAAAACTAGCCATCCCTATCCTGACACTTAGAGATTCATTTCAAGTACCATTTTTCTTATTGAAATATTTCCTGATCAGGGCCCCCTTATTTGATGAGCTTTTACCTACAGAGTACATTTCTCTTTCATAGAACTAATTGCTATCATGACTAATTAGATATTTGTGAAATTCTTTTGTCTATATCCATCTTCCCTGTAAGTCTATAAATTCCACGACACCGGGAACTGTGTTTACTTTGCTGTTTTATTCCCAGTATGTGGTGGACGTTCAGTAGCAATCAATAAATATTTGTTGAATGAATGAATGATTAATTTGCCATCTGACCTTTAGTTGGCAACTGTTTCTGAGCCTTAGTTCTCCATCTGGAAATGGATGATCGTAACAGCTTCTTTCTGGTTTGTTTCAAGGTGAGATAACATGGGTGAGTGCATTTGGTGAAATCTAATACAGATTTAAGGGAAAAAATGAGAAAGATGCCTGGGTTGCTAGTACGGGGCACACTCTAGTTCAAGGGGCAGGACAGATCCTCTGGCAGGTTTTGCTGGCCCTCTAGCTAAGAAAGGTTTTGCTCTCTTAAGAGACTATAAAAAACATGGGGCGCCTGGGCAGCTCAGTCGGTTGGGTGTCCGACTTCGGCTCAGGTCATGATCTCACAGTTTGTGGGTTCGAGCCCCGTGTCGGGCTCTGTGCTGACAGCTCAGAGCCTGGAGCCTGTTTCGGATTCTGTGTCTCCCTCTCTCTCTGACCCTCCCCTGCTCACGCTGTCTCTCTCTCTCTCTCTCTCTCTCAGAAATAAATAAAACATAAAAAAAAATTTTAAAAGAGACTGTAAAAAACAAAAACAGAAGGGCGCCTGGGTGGCTCAGCCGGTTAAGCCTCTGACTTCGGCTCAGGTCATGCTCTTGTGGTTTGTGAGTTCGAGCCCCACGTCGGGCTCTGTGCTGACAGCTAGGAGCCTGGAGCCTGCTTCAGATTCTGTGTCTCCCTCCCTCTCTGTCCCTCCCCTGCTCCCACTCTGTCTCTCCAAAATGAATAAATGTTAAAAAACATTTTTAAAACAAAAACAGAAACAAAACAAAGAAGACTGTGACAGAAAGCGCGTGTGGCCCACAAAACCTAAAATATTTTAGTCTGGCCTAGAACAGTATCTGAGATGAAGTAAACATTTTAATGAATAAACAAATGAAGGATTAATGCTTTCCAAAAACACTTGTATGTTAATATTTTGGTGACTAAAAAGCAGTGCCATTTTCTGACTCCCTTTCTTTTCTTCAATGGAGCAAGGGATCAAAATTGTTAAAATAGCCCCTCCCCAGGGGGCTCTATGTTGACTTTAAATTTAAAAGACAAAATAAAAGGAGTCTACAAGCATTTGCATTTTCCTCTCAATAACATCAACAGTTGCTTTTGAAGCAGAGAAGGTGTGGGTCTCAGAGAACCCTGATAGGAATGAGGACTGGGGGCCCAGAAAGCCACCGCAAGGCTGGCTGCGGTGTTAACACATGTGATTGCCATGCAGAGTATAAATCTACAGCAACCAGTTCATCATATAGTGGAAATTATTGCGTTTTCTCCTATGGAGGATCCACCATTATATAGAAATTACAAATGAAACATTTATAGAAAATGATAAGGAGCTGGGTTTACTACAAAATAATAGTGCACAAAAGGAAAGGAATTTGGACTTAAAAGATCAGGCTCCAAGTCTGAACCCTATCACTTACTCAACCTGCCACTTGGAGCAAATCCATTAGTCTCTCTGAGCTTGAGTTTCTTTACCTAGAAAAAGGGAGTCAATAGTGCCATTTAGTAGGTGGCCATTGGGAGTCAGGTGCTTTACCTACATTTGATCTTTATATCAAGCTCCTGTTACTAGCCCCAAAATACAGATGAAGAAACCGAGGCTCAGAGAGTTCAAGTAACTTGCCCAAAGATACACCACCAGGAAGAACCACGAGGTGTAGAGTCAAGTCCTGACTCCAGCAATACAGTCAGTGCAGCCACTGATTAAGACACTTAATCTTCTGAGGCCTTGTACATGGTTTACCTCACAGAACACACACAAAACCTAATTTCTATGAAATTCCTCTATATCACTTGACTGACTTACACCTTAAAGGTAGATGGTTTTCCTACAAAGTTCTCTATGAAACCTAACTCTTTGTCCTTAGAGAACAGTAAAGAGGAGGGGATGCTCTCCCCTCTGTGTATTATAAGAACGACCTGAGTTGAGGAAGCATTAATGCTTAAGAGTATTGGCTTTCCAGCATGTCCTATGAGTACCATAGTGATCATGAATTCTACTTATCCCACATTGATTCCCATCCCGTTTCTCAACCAACCCCCCTTCAATATACGGCCTGGCAGTTGGTCATTGAGTCTCCATTACCTTTGCTTCATTATCTCATGCAGCCTCCCGTGTTGGACGCACTGTTCCTCCAGTTCATCATTTCTTCTCTGTAACTTTTCCAGTTTTTCATAGGTATACCTGTTCTCTTGACTGAGCTGAGCTATTTCAGATCTAGAGAGGTGAACACACAGAAATGATGGGTGTTAAAGGTTCTTATCACCAGAGCATGTTTTTCCTGTACAACCGTAGCCTCACCTTCAAGTCCGTCCTTCAGCAACACAGTGTGAATGAATAAAAGTTATTTTATGTAAGACAGAATCTTTCAGAAATGGCAAACCGTCTAGTGGAGAAATATAATGCATGCAGGGATTCAAGTGGTGGACAGAGAAAGGAACAAAAACTTCCTCTGAAAGAGATGGCTTCTTCACGGAGCAACACAAAAGTGATCGTGACACATATTCATATCCGATATTTAGTGCGTGCCTATCACAGACCTGCCGCCATGCTTTTATAGGAGCAACCCCAGACTCCATCTCTGAGACAGAGAGTTATCTCTTTTAATTAGCATGGCTAATGCAATGGCACATGATTAAAGTCATGCAGTTCCAGAAGGCACAATAATGAGAAACTTCCCTCCTCTACTCCCGACCCAATCTCCAGCTCGTCAGTGTAACTACTAGTATTTCAGTGTGTAGTTAAGTCAAAATCTCTGCTTACATTCTGTGGCTACCTGAATATTGGTCCTTGCTGGCTAAGTAGTTTATTATGTCAGTGAGCTTTAGGGTAGCGTGAGAGAACGTGAAGCCATCTTTTCTGGTGGGAGATTTCTAATATTCCTGTCTATAATTCTCTCCTCTATGGCCATTCTGCTTCTCAACAGAAGACTCCTCCCATTCCCTGCTTATTGTGCGTAACCTAAGCCATCAGTGGTCTAGGAGCTGGTTGGAAATAGAGAGGTAGGGATCTCGCCTTTCAGAATGCAGACTTTCTATTAATTTTCCTCATCTCCCTTCAGTGCCTCTCTTTTAACCAGAGCCTGCTGGTTTAAGCTCTTGATATGGAAGGCCCTAATTTTCTGGGGGGAGAAGAAACAGTCATTGGCTGCATGGGGTGGGGGCAGAACTGTCTATTTTGGTTTCAGTCCTAAATTCCGCTTCTGCCTTCCAAATTTTCCTGGAATCCTGAGAGTAGATCAGCTTGCTTCACATAGAAGTGCTCCTCTGTAAGGACTGAAGGTTTACCTTCCTCCACTTTGCTACATCAGGTACCATTTCCCCTATCTTCTTTCTGTCTTGACATACTCATTTTGGGGATCATGGATATGTACTCTGGGGATGATTAATGTCCCTCAGGAAATATGCTTGCCTCCTCTTTCGTATCGTGGAGGGTTAGCTCAAGTCTCAAAATTTGAAGATCAGAAAGATACCTCTCTGAGAAAAGCCGTATCCCTGTCCTTGCTTTATTTTATTCTTTTTAATTTTATTTTTTTTTTAGATTTATTTATTTTTGAGAGACAGAGTGAGACGAGCGGGGGAGCAACAGAGAGAGAAGGAGACACAGAATCTGAAGCAGGCTCCAGGCTCCGAGCTGTCAGCACAGAGCCCAACGCGGGGCTAACCCATGCATGAACTGCGAGATCATGACCTGAGCTAAAGGCAGATACTTATCCGACTGAGCCACCCAGGCGCCCCATCCCTGTCCTTGGTTTAGATAAACCTTGCTCCCATGGCCACCACCTCCTCATGTTCCACTGCCCCAGAGACTGGAACTCAAAGTTGAAAATTCTTACAATTAAAATACGAGCAGTTAACGGCTGGTTTGCCTCTTGAAGTTCAAGTATGACACTTGATGCAGAACTATGTCCCTCCAAAGAAAGGATTCCTCTATCAGGTGAGAGAGTTTTTTCTTCCTGGTCAAGAGAAGATGTGGATTTGCCCCACATCATCGGAAGGACCAAGCGGCATCACTGTATGAAGCAATTTGTCACTTTGTGTTCACCTCATTCCCCATTTTGTTTTCATCTTGGTTCAAGCATCGTCTCAAAGGAAGCTTGCCCTGATTAATACTTTGCGATTCTCAAGTGTCAGCACATTTTTTGAAACTATCTCTGGCTTTTATGCATACATTAGCTTATAATTTATTCCTCTGAATTGCGCCGTATGCCTTATCTTTCTTACTAGATTATACATGAGGGCCGGGATTGTCTCATTTTCAAGCTCAGATCAAGCTCTGGATCTACATTTGCTTCTTCTAATAAGAATTCACCTGTATTGAAATAGTCTAGATCAGTTAATAATGATTTAGGTTTCTCCTTTCAAAATCACATACAATACACGAGAATGTAATACAGTTAGAAGAAATTCTTAATTTAGCATTCTTCCAAGATAGCCTCTCTATCACAACAAGCACTATGCACTAAAATAAGTCCCCAAAAGAAAACAAATATCCTTAAACCTGATTAGGAAAACAGGCAGAAGGATATCTATCTGTTCTCAGGTACTTCCTCAGAAAAAAAGTACCTTTTTAAAAGAACAATCATAAAGGAAACTTAGACTTTACATTACAAAAGTATAAAACCTTTACACACAAAAAAATCATAATGTTCAAAGTTGCATCCTTTCTAGCAACAATCTCGCTCTGCAGCCCCAATATCTGGAAGTCTAACCCAGAAATATGACAACAGAAGACTGGTTATATTACTTATGCAAAGGAATGTCAAGAGGCTATTCTGATAGTGTGGCTATCTGTTAGCATTATTCATTGACATAAAAATATGATATGTTGGTAAGAAAGGGAAATATTTAAAATCAGCATATACAAAGTGATTCCATTTTGTAATAAAAAATATGTTTTAATTTAAAAATTTTTTATGTTTTATTTTATATTTGAAAGAGAGAGAGAGTCAGAGCATGAGTAGGGGAGGGGCAAAGAGAGAGGGAGACACGGAATCCAAACTCACAAACTGTGAGATCATGACTTGAGCTGAAGTCAGACGCTGAACCCACTTGAGCCACCCAGGCACCTCTTATCAAAAGTATTTTGAGATATATATCATATATTAGTATTGATTATCTTTAGGGATCAGAATTAGGAATTTTTAAAAATTTATTTTACTTTTCCATATTTTTTGAATTTTTGTAATAGATACCTAAAAACTAAAGTCATGTTAGCTGAATCTACTGTGGTAATCATTTCACAATACACATAAATCAAACCATCATGCTGTACTTCTTAAACTTATACATCAAGTATATCTCAATAAACCTGGAAAAAAATTTTTGAAAGTCAGTTTGATTTTGAAAAAAATCATGAAAACCAAAGGAACTGGGAACAAAGCTTTCAAAATTAGAAAAAGAAACAGGAGCACGTAAAAAATCTAATCTAAACGATTAGAGGCATCATTTAATAACGTGCTACTCCACTCTCCATGAAGATTCCAATTAAAAACAAATATGGAGAGGGGTGCCTGGGTGGCTCAGTCAGTTAAGCATCTGACCGGCTCAGGTCATGATCTCACAGTTCATGGGTTCAAGCCCCACATCGGGCTCTGTGCCGACAGCTCAGAGCCTGGAGCCTGGCTCAGATTCTCTGTCTCCCTCTCTCTCTCTGCCCTTCCTCTACTCATGTTCTGTCTCCCTCTCCCTCAAAAATAAATAAACATTAAAAAAAAACAAATATGGAGAATATAAAAAATACACAAGAAGAAACAGAAATGGTCAATAAACATTTATAAACTATTCAGTTTCCACAATTATTCAAAGAAACACATAATAAAATCAGATTCCAGTTGAGTATTTATTGCACGCCTACTGTCTGCCAGGTAGTGGAATTCATCCTTCAGATTAATGATGGCAATTAATTCTTCAAGGTAAGTGTTTCTTTCCTTTTTTCTGTGAGGTAAATAGGAGGTTTAATGATTTGCCTCAGGTCACTGACTGGTGATTAGCCCCACCAGATACAAACACTGGCCTGTCCAGCTCTAAAGGGGCTGTCCGAAATATCATATGTTTGCACGTATAGGAGGATTAGGAGGAACTTGACGGAGGAACAAGGGGGAGAAGAAGGGCGGAAATGGTGGGGGAAAGGGAGAGAGGCAAACCATGAGAGACTCTTGAATGCTGACAAAAACTGAGGACTGATGGATGTGGGGGGGAGGGGGGATGGGCATGGAGGAGGGCACTTGTGGGGATGAGCACTGAGTGTTATGTGGAAACTAATTTGACAATAAACTATTTGTAAAAAAATAAAAAATAAAAAAAAAATAAAGGAGCTGTCCGGCCCACTGTGCAATACTGCCTCTCACTTTTCCTTTCTTCATTCTCTCACTTCTTCGTGTCACATACTGAGATGGGTATGTATACACTGAGAAAAATTTAATGTGGTACTTGAGCAAAGTCATACATACACATTAATAGCCTTCAAAGGGTTCCTATCATTGAAACAGAAACCAAAAAAAAGGTTCATAGTCTTTGGACCAACGATCCCCTTTTAGGATATCTCAACTAAGGGGATCATCAAAAATTCAGAGTTATGGACAAGATTATTATCATATTATTCATTACAGTTAAAACCTAGAAACATCTTAAATGTCTAAAGAATTACTATGTGTACAAATGACTCCATTACAATTGTTTCCAGAGTAGTGATATAGACACACATTCACTAGAAAATATGTGTTACTCACTCACCAGGTAAACATATGCGTACATACACATTTATATCCACACACAAACTCACTGGGAGTAAATATGTCACAGGGTAACAATAGTTAGCTAGATGGTGATGTCATAGGATTTTTTTTCTTTTTTTCTTTCTTTAATTAAAGATATTTTTTAATGTTTTTTTTTTTTTTTTTTGAGAGACAGAGAGAGACAGAACATGAACAAAGGAGGGGCAGAGAAAAAGGAGACACAGAATCAGAAGCAGGCTCCAGGTTCTGAGCTGTCAGCACAGAGCCTGACGCGGGGCTTGCACTCAGGAGCTATGAGATTATGACCTGAACTAAAGTGGACGCTTAAATGACTGAGCCACCCAGGCGCCCCAGGATTTTTTTTTTCTTAAATTCTTCTTTGCAGTTATAGCCAAATGCTCTATGAAGATGTCTTACATGACCACAAAAATACAAATGTTATTTTGTAAAAGTACATGTTACTACCAGGTATTTTATTTTA